CACTTTTCAGAGACAGCTTCAGAGAGTTTAGGTTTGTCCATTTAACATATTCCAAACATATGATGGCCAGATGATACAGTCTTTTTGTATTCAGCTTTTGAACAGACTGCATTTCTAAGCTTCCTTCCCCAGCTTAATACTAGGGGAATCCTCTGGATTAGGGGAGAAAAGTGGGACAGAAGGAGTCCTCTAAAGTTTAGTTTTCTGATTGAATTGAAACTCTTGTGATATTAAGGTTAACTCCACAGTTACTTGTAATTTTCTTGCCCCTTGAAGCCTTTCCAGTGAAGTCTGATGGAAGCAAGAGAGCTTTTACAGTACAAATCTTCATGCTGCCTTTTCCCATGTACTCACTCATCTTCACAAACTCTTGTATTTCAGGGTAGAGAAGAACTAGAATTAGTACAGAGAAGGGCAAACAGAATGACCAAAGATCATTTTGGGAGAAAAATTAAATAGATTAGTCCACTGTAGACTGGAATAAAAACAGCTGAGGAAGAACATGTTCAATGCATAAAGAATCATGAATTATGGGGAGAAAATAGGGGACTCTTATTAAGTGCTTCTCAAAGCACAAAAGGTAGGTAGCTTCAAAAACTTGAGAAAAAGAAGATAAAACTTGTCAAAAAAGAATTTTCTTTTGTTTGTACACAACTTGGCCGTGGAACTTACTGCCAGAGGGTGGTTGTGCAGGTCACAACCATAAAAAAGTTTCAAAAGGAATTAGGTACATTCCCAGAAGAAAAATCCACCAGGTATTATTTATGAAGATAAAACCACTGTCTCAGGAAGTGCCTAGTCTGCAATTTAACAGAAACTGGGAGAGTTCAGCATAGGGAAGGGCATTATACTTTTTCTGCCCTTTCTTCAAGAATGCCCAACTAACTTCTGTAACAAATACAACTGCTAGGTAAAAATGACCTTGATGTGGCCCAGAATAGCTGTTCTGTGTTCCTGATGCCTTCTTCAACTGCCTTGGCAATGAAAAAGATTATGGTAAATTGAAGACAGTCATGGTGATTTTTGGTTTTTGTCTCTCTTTGCAGAAAATATATCTTTAATGAAGTCACAAAGTCTTGTCTCGTATTTCTTCCCTGGCATGGATCTGAAGATTTTATATTTGCTTCAACTGTTCTTCACAGAATAAATGGTGTGAGGCTGTACTGAAAAGACAGTTCTGAATATATGCTGGCTTCATTTACAGCTACCACTCTAGAGGCTTTTTCTCCCTAACTCTGTAATCCTGCATGGCGCAGCACTGTGCTTAGTGTGCTTTTCTGTGCTTAGAAAGGTCATACTTTGAAGGGTGCAGAAAGCAGCAGCAGCTCAGGAAGGACTTCACTGAGCCCCCAGCTCTAGCCTCTGGTTACTTGCTGTGTAATCAGGCAAACAACGACAGATGCCACCCCACCATCAGGGGTGTGCTTACAGTCTAGACAGCCATAACCAAAATCCTGACAAGGATCTTGCTTGTCTGGGTCCTCATGTGCTCTGGGAGAGAGAAGAAAGGGTACCTCCATCTGCTGTCAGGTGTCACAAGGTAATGATGAGCCCATGGTCCAGACACTGCTCCCTTCACTTCAAATTTTTTAGCAATTTATCCTTCATAGGGGAAGTCACATGTACAGAGCTTCCTGAGCAAAACAGAGCTCAAGCTTCTGACTGCTGGTCAGTCCAGTTATAGGAGTGCTTCTGGGAAGAGTAATTTTGAAAAATCTGGCTAGGTATAATTTTTGAACCATGGAACCAAGTGGTTTGCCAGTCATTAGAGGGAATTTCTTAGCATTTGGTAACTAAATTTGTAAGAAGTTCTTACAGAACTAGAACTAGAACTAGAACTAGAACTAGAACTAGAAATAGAAATAGAAATAGAAATAGAAATATAATGGGACACAGCCCATTTCTTTGGTCCACACTTCCCAGCATCTGCAGTATACAATGAGATCAAGAATATTGTTAAAATGGCCAAAGCACAGGTAATACATGAGTGATGACTAATAGAAAATATATGTGATTATCTCACTGTCTAACATGCCTGTTCCACACTTTTCAACTATACTTTTTAATTCTTTCTTATGTTTCCAAAGACTAGAATTACAGGCCAGGTGTGTGCACAGGCAGTATGGCTTACACTATCAGAAAAGATTAAAAACAAGACCACATTGCCTTCCTTGGCTACTACAAAGCACAGAGACATAGTGGCATGGAGACCTTTGAGGTAAAGGTCAGAGAATTGTACTAAATCAGCTCTATTACTCCAGGTATCTTGAGTAGCTTGGCTTTGCTTACACACTCCCTGGCTGTGCTCAGAGCTGTGAATGTATCCTGAGACATAATCAGTATTCACATAATGCAAAAGATCAGAAGCACTGGCACTGCCAGGCGAGAGCTACAAAAGCACACTGCACATCTGCCCCTGCTTCTTAGTGATATATGACTACTGCATCATGCAGATACCAGATCTGCATAGGAGTTTTATGGCTCCCAGTTGGACCTGGCTTCAGCTGTGCAGGGGATCAAGGGCACTGACTCCTAGGTAGCCTCTACCACTGTAGAAGACTGCTTTGCACAGCCAGGACAAAGCAAGGAGGATTTATGAGCTGTAAGGATGACCACAGAAGGCTTAATTCTCTCTTCATGGCAGAAGAGCGGAACCCTAATCACCGTCATCCTACTCTGTAGCTGGACTTCCAGATATTGTGACATTTTAGGACACTTGCCTTGAAACAGCAACCAGAGCACATGATTAAATATAGCCTCGTCCCTAAGCAAAGCTTGTGCACGGAGTGACTTCCAGCAGGACATGGTTATTGTGTATTTATGTGAGTATACAAGCAACAGACCCAAGGACTGATGGACTCCTGTCCATCTGGAAATGGAGGGCCTCAAGTGAAAAGTTTCAGCAAGCTGACTCATGCTGTTCTGACACACGCATTTGGGAAGAGTCATCATGGCTTACTTGTTTCTCCTTCTGCAAAATCTTACTGGCAGGCCTTAAGATGCTCTAAGGAGTCTAACATGACCTTTGTTTCTCACAAGCTGATGACATTACTACAGAGAGAAAGTGTTTTTTAATACAGAGTCTATTTTGCTTGAACACATTGGACAGCGAGTGAAACACAAATGAATACAAATCTTGGTTCGGTGACACATCGAGCATCTATGAAAAACACCATGGCTCTGATGAAAATGCCAACTGCATTTTCTGCTGTAGCCTTCCTGCAGAGAAATTAACCAGTAAGTTCATGATGCATATAGCTAGAAATAATCTGAAATTAAAAATTAATTCAGTTTCATCAGTGGTTTCCTGAAAACATGCAATTAATTATTTACCACTTACAGATACATATTTATCTTTTAGTGTTTCAGAGGTCCAAATGAACTTGGGTATGTAATTTCTAGACTAAAAATACATAAATCACCATCATAGTTCTTTTTGTTGTTCTGCCCCTAGGAAAAACAAAAAGCCTTTAAAAGCCAGAAATTGACCCTCATGCTTGTTTCCACTAAGCACAATGCAGAATAAAGAGGAAGAACAATGGGTGGGAAACAATTTATCATCACTTCAACTTGAGCCTTGACTTACAGCATCATAGTGCCCTGACAATCACAGCCACTAGCTATTGCTATATTTTTCATTCCAAGTAAGGTGGCAGAGCATGGTCAGAGATAAGAAACTTCGGGAAACTACTTTCAGTTTCGTAAAGGTTGCTTTATGGCCTGGAACTGGAAACTAAATGGTATTTCTGTTAAAGGTTGGGGTTTTTTGTTAGGGTGGGGTTTTTTATTTGTTTATTGGTTGGTTGTTGTTGTTGGGCTTTTTATTTGGTTGGTTGGTTTTGTAAATTCTTAGTATTGTAGCAATAGGCTACACCTCTTCACCTCCAGCAATAATCTATGAACCTATAGACCTTTCTGACATTATTCTAAATCCTTTTCTTTTCTGACAGGACTTTTACATTCAGGCTTTAAAAGGCAACTATGGATTATGCATTCATTATATGTCTGAGCACAGGATGAGCCCTTGTAAGTATTTGGACAAGGGACAGCCTTTGAAAGCCCAATATCCTATGGGAAATGCTATGGCTGATTCACCAGGTGCCAATATCCTGCCTGGTAATTCACTATTGGTACTCTTCCAATTAGCAGTAGGAGACATAACCGCTAATACTGCCAGCTGCTACCTGGAATGCCTTTCTTATCTGCTGTCTTTTTCTTTTCATTGTCTGCTTGTTTTCTTGTCTCTTTTAAGAGAGATTCTGCAAGAAGATGAGGATGTTGTAACACTCAATTAAGTGATGCAGTCACAAAGGGCAACTAGGATATAAACTAGAGATAAGGCAGGGAAACAGCAAACAGAAGAAGGTAGGAGGTTTGGTGGGGAGGAAGCGTTTCAGGTGTGAGGAGGAAGATCTGAGCTGGTGGAGCGGCTGCTCTTTCTCCCGGAGGCTGGCTTGCTGGGGACATTAAGGTGTGCGTTCCTGTGAAGGCACACACAGGTAGCTTACTTAAGTCCTTCTGCACTTGCCAGCTAAGGAGAAAGGCACAGATCTCACATCAGCCACTAATCTGACCGCACTGGTTGCAGCAGGGCATACCGAGCGCCGGCACTCCCGCCAGTGCGCCGGCCAGGCTCCCTGCGTCCGGCCCGCTGCGGGAGCGGCTCCGCAGGGCGCTGCGGGACAGCGGGGCCGCGCTGCGGCAGCGCCGCCGGGCTCGGAGCGCCGGGCAGCGGGAACCTGCCCGCAGGCCCGGGCAGCGCTCAGCGGCGGCAGCCGCAGCCCCGGCCGGAGCGGCGGGGCCCGAGCGCACAGCCAGCGCCCGCCTCCCGCCGCCCGGGGCTGCCGGCGCCCCCCGCCCGCCGGTCGCCATGGCGACCCGCCCGCCCGCCTCCCGCGGGGCCGCCGCTGCCGCCGCAGGGCCCGGCTCCGGCGGCGCCGGCTCCGCTCCGCGCCTCGGCCAACCACAGCGCCGGGAGGGAGTCCCTGCGCGCCCGCGGGCACGGCCAGGCCCGCCCCAACCCCGCTGCGCCAGCGGGGCCTGCCCGAGGTGGGAGAGGAGGAGGAGGAGGAGGAGGGACTCCGCAGCGGCAACAACTGACGTGTCCCCGCCATGGAGCTCGGCGTGATTCATCAGCGGCAGCGGGGCGGCAGCGGGGCGCTGCGCTCCGCTCCCGCCTAGGCACTGCCGCGGCGGGGACAGCCCCGGCACCGCTCCGCCGCCCGCGCCGCCCTCCTCCTGCCTCCTCCTCCTCTTCCTCGCCGCTTCTCCTCCTCCCTCGCGGCTAGGCGAATATCCCGGGGGAGGCAAGATGGAAGAAATCCTGCGAAAGCTGCAGAAGGAGGCGTCGGGGAGCAAGCACAGGGCCATCAAGGAGAGCTGCACCTGGGCCATCGGTAAGGGGCGCGGGCGGGGGAGCGGAGCGGGGCAGGAGCCGCCGATGGAGCGGGTCTCTGAAGCAGGGGGCAGGGAGACCTCAACAAACTTGTTCCGCGCTAAGGAGAGCCTGCTTAGCCGAGCCTCCAGCGGCTGGGAAGAGAGCGGAGCTCCTGGGCCGTTCAAAATGCCCGGGAGCTCCGCGCTGCTGGAAGGCGCCGTGGCACCTGCTGCCGGTCCTGGAGAGCATCCCCGCCCTCGCCTTCCCACCGCCCGCATCTGCTTCGTGGCTCTTGCGAGGCACATATACGGGTATCAGTAGCTGTCAGTTTCCGTGTATGTTTTGGAGGTGCTGTCTTTTTCTTTAAAGGCCCCCTCCCTCCTTTAAATCATCGTAAAAACCATGCCGTAGAGCTCTTACGCTGGCTTATGGAATCTGTTTTAAAAGCTAGAAGTTTTGTTCTACTGGATTACATGAGCTCTTTTATCCTTGCAATATAATGATCAGTATAACGAGTTAATCTTTCAGGGGAGTACAAGCTTAGGTACATTTTAGCATCCACCCATTTTCCGAGATTTATCATGTCTTGAAGTGTTTTTTGACATTTCCAACCTGGAACATTGATCATCAGGACCCTTAATTTAAATCAGCATAACTGGGATACTTTCAATTGCTTTAAATTTTTGGGTTTTATCCATGCATAGCTACAACATTCTGTGGTAGATCAGACCTGTTGCTGTCTTTCATCCTGATGTTGCATGAGTTGCTTCATTAATTGCATGTTAGTCTTGCACAGCAGCCATGCCAGTATCCTCTATACTGTTCCAGTTTTAGTGGATGTGCTGCTGAAGTGCTGATATGTGAAAGGGAAAAAATGGTACTTGGTGTCTTCTCGTTGGGCATGCAATGTTCCTGTCAGATTTATGCAAAGCTTTGGCAGCTCAGAGCAGCAGTGGTTGTTGTTCTGTCAGATGGAGTAGGTGTAAACTTTAGGATCATTGGCTTGGAGGCTGTAGCCAGATGTGCTAACTGTGGTTGAGCTCAGAAGTTTCTTTTAAAAGCCCTGTTGTTTCCTTTAATTATACAGAAACCTTGGATTCTCCCGATGCTGCTATCAAGATACCACCATATCAGCTGAGGTAAGAACATTGAACTTGAGTTCTTTAGAGTTTGTGAGTATTTCTAAAACTGAAGCAAAAATTTTGAATTAAAAGTGAGGTAGAGGAGCAGGCTGCATCTATGTGATTTCTGTAGTTTTTAGATATACATATCTAGGCTGGTAGTAGTAGATAACTTTCTGATGAATCCTTGGCCTTTGGCCCTGAATGAAATGTAAGGAAATGTGTTAAAATGGGCATGAGTATGTATAGTGGTGACATTGATTAGAAAGGAGGGCTCTCTTATGGGCTAAAGAGTTTCTCTGCTAAATTCCATCTTTCAGTAATAAGCAATGATGCTTCTTAGGTTCTCCTCAGCGTGCTTGTGTTCTTTTAAATCTAAATCAGATTTTGTTACTGAAAATAAATATTCCAGAAACTAAAAATTTATATCATCGTATAGCTAGGACACTGACTAAGAACTAAAATAATACAGTTTCTATGCCTACTTCTTCCTTTAGCCTGCTAGATTATGTTGAGTGAGCCTTCTTCCTTCTTCTCACCTCCAGTTGTACACATATAAAATGGGAGAGGTGACATGGCCCTGATTTGTCTAGCTATTTAAAATCTCATTTTGGAAATTGTCATTGTTATGGAGTAGGTAAATAGGTAAAATTATTCACTGTTCTTTTTGACAGAACCATTAAGAGTCATCAAAGGAAACTAGCAAGTGCTCTGTTTAAAACAAAAGCATGTTCTTTCATAGAGCTTAATAGTTGAGATATGAAATGCTTAGGCTTGCCTTCTTAGAGAATGTAATGGATGCTGAAAGATTGCATGCATGCAAAAACCACCTCAACAAATCCATGAAAGAAATTGATTGGAATCTATCAGATGCACAGCTACCATTCTTACTCAGAAGTACCTTAATCGAAGTGTTTGAGCTTATAAAGGAGGATATAGGAATGCTGCTGTATGTTTGGCCTGTCCCGTGAACCTCTCAGGTATCCACTTTGAGCTGCTTATAGGGGGGGACATTTGTTTTGCTACAACATTACTTTCCTGGGAGTATTTTTATCACCTCAAGATTCCCTGATGCTTCTTTCATATATGCTTTGCAAGGAAAGGTAGGGATCGAAGAACTAGTTATTCCAGAGCAGTCACCAAACAGGGAAAGAATAGGAGCAGTTCTTTTGCCGCTCTAAATTCCTGTCAGCTGCAGTCCACAAGAGGCCTCTGATCGAATGGGGGATGGATGTAGCACAGGTCTGACATAACCAGTGCCAGACACAATGCATTTCCAGCACAGAATGGGAATAGCTGGATGACTAATTCTCAATAGGTCCACTAGAATTATGTTTACTTGACATTGTGGCTGGAGAAAACTTGGCTCTTCACCTTCCCATTTATCAGCCTCTAATATGGTGTGTGGTCTGTGCCTTTAAGTGCTATTGTCATTCCCTATGAATTGGTTAGCTAGCTGTTACCACATTTCTTCCTTTTCCCCTTGCCTACTACAGCTTTACAGAGAGGCCTTTTTCTCTTCTTCCTCCAGTGTTCTTAATAATGTATTTGTTTAGTTGGAGTATTTTTTCCACTGTAAATCCCCCTTTTTTAAGTAAAGTTAATACCTTTGCACGTGTAGCAATGATTAAATAAGCTCTTAATGTTAGACTTGTCAGTAGCAATGCACATTATTACTGGATGTTTTGGAAAATGAAAGGAACACAAGAGGATTTGCACAAAAGCTTTTGTTGTGGGGTCCTTGGTGAGGCTCAGCCATACAGCCTTAGATAGTGTGGGAGATGTTGCTAAGCATACCCTTCACTCTCTGATAACAAGCTACTGCCAGGCTCCAAATAGCACACTGGGCCACATCTTGGGCTGGAGTTTGCCTGCATGATGTGCAAATTAGATAAAAGTTCTTCGCTTGGTATTTGTTAAAAAGCAGCACTGTGATGGCTTGGTTCCTAATACTGGAAAAGAAAAGCCTGGAAAGTAGAGCAATGGCTGTGACCAGAAACACAGCCAAGATGCAGGATGGACATGTCTTGGCTGTGCCTCTTTTCTGCTTTAATCTTACATCAGATACAGGTTGTATCAGCTGCTGTAACACAAATCAGCCTCTGGCTGCTCATCCAGTTGGAATCTTAATCTACACTTAGGTTCTTTTCTTTCTAGAATGGAAGAATGAAGGCTGCTCACAAGAATGAGAATATGTAAACTCTATACTCACTTCTTTCTTACAAAATAAAAAGCCATTCTCTGCTTCTGAGACCCCAGTTCTTGATGAGTAGAGGTTCTTTGTAAAGTTGTCTTTTGTAAAATTGTGGTCCTAGTGTGATAATGGGGAAGACAAGGTGTCTCTGCTTTTCCTCAGACTATGAGCATTTGAGTTCAAGGGGTTTTTGACATGTATTATATCAGCTACATACGTATTTCCACTGTAGTATTGGGGTAGACTGTGTTCTGTCATGTCCCTGACCTATCCTTGGTTTCATCTTAGTTGGGCTGGTGTTACTGAACATGAGGCAGACCACATTACAGTTCCCTGATATCTGTGCAATTAACTGGGGACATCAGCTGTAGCATTTGCATAGGAGCTTTTTCCAGCAGTTATCTGGTAGCAATTTAGATAGCACATGCCTGCTGTGTTTGGGAGCACCTTTTGCCACAAGGGAGTCCCAGTGACTGACCATCCAGATTGGAATGTAATTCTTTAATTAGTTTGATAGGAGTCTGTTTGGTATATCTTCAGGGAGCTAGATGAGACTATTTTGCTGTTCAACTTCCTTTGATGTTAATTGGACTTAGGAATCAAAATCCTCGTTAATGCCCTTGCATATTGATTCTAGTAAGGGTCATTATTTAAATGTCTCACTTCCTAAAGAAATACAAATCTCCTACAAACACAGAGTTTCCCACAAAGTCTTGTCAGCTCTGCCTTGAGATAGGAATATGTGTGTGATTTTTCGGTACTTTTAACTTACGATCAGAGTATTGGGCAAGGGTGGGAGATAATAACAAAGATTAAAGTGGATCAAGATGGAAATGGCCTTAAGTCAGTTCAAGGCTTTGCTGTAGATGTTCAATGAATTCTTCAGAAGGGAGAGTCCTGTAACCTGTTGGTAACTGGCCTCTTGTGATCCGTCTAGTATGATGGTATTTGTCTCTGAATATGAGTTGTGAAAATTGGATATATACTAAGTGCTTAAGGAGGCTGGGTGGCTGACTTATAAATAATGAATTAGATAAGAGAAATTGATGTGCTTGTGTTTTAATTGGTGAATTGATCGCATGGAAAACAGCTTTAGAGACCTTAATGTTGTCTGCTAGCAAACAGTTGTTTGCTACTCAGCTGGGCTATATTCACTTCAGCATTTTCAGGATGGCAAATTCTCCCCTAAGGCCAGCACTATACATTGAACAAGGCTCTCTTCTTGGCTTGTTGTGATTTTAGAGGCTGAAATATGAGCTATAAAAGGTAACTCAACAGACACAAGAAAATGAGCTTTGAAAAAAAATGTTTGATTGGAGCAGTTTAATGCTCATGAGGATTATCTGCATATCAGAGGCTAAAATAAGAGGCTAGACAGCAGTTGCCAGTCACATACTGCTTTGAAAAAACTTGGGCTTGCCAGAGTTTCTTGGAATGCATTATGTCAGTAAGTCATGCCTTACAGGCTATGTAAAACTTGATGGCTTGCTATCAGCACAGACTTTGCTGGAAAGAAGAAATTGGTTGGGACTTCTGAAGGAGCATTTCTTTTTGGAAGAAATGCAAATTGGGTTTGCCTGGCCAGGTTTTGGTAGCAGGAGAGGCTACAGCAGTGGCTTCTGTGTGAAGCTGCCAGAAGCTTCCCCCATGTCCAGCAGAGCCAATGCCAGCTGGCTTCAAGACAGAAGTGCCCCATGCCAAATCTGGGCTAGTCGGAAGTGGTGACAACCCCTCTATGATAACAAATTTAAGAACAAGGAAAAGAGTTGTTTTGCAGATGTTACTGCTTCCAGAGAAGAGTGGGGTGAGAATATGTGAGAGGAACTACTCTGCAGACACCAAGGTCAGTGAAGTAGGACAAGGAGGAGGTGTTCCAGGTGCCTGAGCTCAGATTCCCCTGAAACCCATAGTGCAGACCATGAAGAAGCACCCATGCCCCTGCAGCTCATGGCGGTCCATGGGGGCGCAGAGATCCACCTGCAGCCCATGGAGGAGACTCACACTGGAGCAGGGGGATGCCTGAGAGGAGGCTGTGAGCCTGTGGGAAGCCTGTGCTGGAGCAGGTAGGAACTTGGCAGGTATCTGTGGACTCATGAACAGAGGAGCAGGTTTCCTGAGAGGGCTGGCATCCTTGTGGAGGACCCACATTGAAGCAGGATGTGACTCCTTTCCCTAAGCCGTGGCAGGAATGATGTGTGATGGACTGACCATAACCCACATTCCCTGCCTGTCACTGGATGGGAGGAGGGAGGAGTGGGGGGGAAGGTGTTTAGGGCTTATTTTACTTCTCATTACCCTGCTCTGGTTTTGGTAATAACAAATTCAATTAGTGTCTCTAATTTGAGTCAGTTTTGCCTGTGGCCGTATCTGGAGAGTGATCTCTCCCTGCCCATATCTCAAACCAGGGACCCTTCATTATATTTTCTCTCCCCTGTCCAGCTGGGGAGGGCAGTGTTTCTGGAGATTACAGCTGGAAAGTCAGAAGTCAGTGAGGAGCAGGGTCCTGTGTAATAACCAGTTCATGTCTGATTCTGTCTCTTCTTGCTTGTGTCCCAGTGTTAATCATGTTGGTGCTAGCTTTTGAGAGCAGTTTTTCAACTTTTTCTATAGTCATGGACATGTGGGAAGGAGAACATTTGGGGAGCAAAGTGGTAGTTCTACTATTTTTTTTGTATCTCTAGATTAGGGTCTGACATAGTTCTTGAGAAGTATGCAGTTTATAATCTCTTAAATAAAACAACATGCTCACTCATTTTACCTTACATGTGCTCAACAAGTAATAAAAGCAGTAATTGTGGTGTGATCATCACCAAACAAACAATGC